TTAAGTGAAAATAGAAGGAAAAATGAAAACAAAGCTTTTGTACAAAGAGAGGGGCTTGCGGGGTGGATGGGATAAAATTTATTAAAAGAAATTATAGCTAAATTAAACCTCTCCTCCTTTAAGAATAAACTTTTAATTTAAAAAAACATTTTGGCTCTTTTGTAGTAACAAAACAAAAACACATATAGCTATACGAAAATATTTTCTTTCTTTACCTTGAATTTCCTTTTTCACTTTTTAACTTTTTGTTAAGAACTAAGACACAGAGGGCTGGGGATTTAGCTCAGTGGTTCAGCTGCCTGCTTCACAAGCGCTAGGTCCTGAGTTCAATTCCCAGTACAAAAAAAAAAACAAAACAAAAAACCAACAACAACAAAAAACTAAGATACAAAGGGCCAGGGATTTAGCTCAGTGGAGCTGTTGTCTGCTGTGGAAGTACAAGATCCTGAGTTCAATCCTGGTACCACAAACAAACAAAGACATAAACACATATTAGGGATGGGTATGCAGCACAATGGTGGAGCACTTGCCTAGTATTCACAAGGCCCTGTGCCAATCCCCTTTACTTCAAATTTAGAAAAAAATTCTAAACCAATACAGGCTAGGGTCATCAACATCTCTATCTTCTGCCTCCACAGTTTACCCCATTGAAAGTAACATGCATGGCCCTGTTATCTATAATGCTTTCTTTAGGAATAACTCCTGAAGAACCTGCCTCAAGCCCTTGAGGGTGTCATTCTTTTCATAAGTACGTAAGTATGACTGTGGTGGTTTGCTTGCTTGGTTTATTTTTTTATTATAGATTGGCTTATAAGCAAATAACACTATGAATATTCCTCTAAGTGAAAGCTTCTGTAGATTCCCAGTACAAAAAAAAAATTTTTTTTTTGGTGTTTTGATCCACATTTTCAAACTGTTTTTGAGAATCCAACCTGAGGGTGCCCTAGCACTTAGCTACATCTCTATGCCTTCCTCTGTTTAAAAAATTTTTGAGACAGGTTCTAAATTGCCTAGGCTTGCTTTAAACTTGCAATCCTCCTGCTTCAGCCTCCCAAGTAATAGGATTATAAATATGCTCCACAATATCTCTTTCCAAATTTTTAAAGGAGTTTGTCATAGTCTACAAAAGTTTTTACAGCTATTTGTTCGTTAGGCAACTGGAATTTTTCAACTCCATTATAAATCTTTTTTGTTTTGTTTTGTTCTGTGTCCTTGAGACAGCATCTCGCTATGCAGTTCAGGCTGGCTTTGAATTCCCAGCGATCCTCTTGCCTCAGCCTCCCTAGTGCTGGGATTATAGGTATGTGCCACCACACCCAGCTCAATTCCATTATAATCTTATGGGACTAACATCAGTCTGTGGACAGAAAAATTGTAATGTGCTAAATGACCTTGCCTGAGTTACTGAATCTTTCTGTGTTTCAGTTTCCTGAACTAAAACACGAGAAACTGAGAATTAAATGAGTAATGTACATGTAAGAATGCTTAGCATTTAGCAAGTTGCACATAAACACTGGTTATTATTATAGCTTTCTTGTCATTTTTTGAAGCCCTCAGTTTGGTGAAGCATGGGCTAAAATACAAACTGGCAAAACAAATTAATAAAAAAATCCTAGCAAATTATTTTTTCGGTACCAGGAATGGAACTCAGGTACTTGTGCTTGCCCCTTGCTTCTCATCACAATTAAACTGGGAGTTGTGGCTCATGCCTGTAACCCCAGCACTAGGGAGGTTGAGGCAGGAGGATCACTGTAAGTTCAAAACCAGCCTGGGCTACCTAGTGAGTTCCAGGTCAGCCTCAACTACACAGTGAGACCCTGTCTCAAAAAAACAAACAAACAAGCTGGGCGTGGTAGCTCACACCTGTAATCCCAGCACTCGGGAAGCTGAGGCAGGAGCTGTGAGTTCAAGACCAGCCTGGGCTACACAGTGAGTTCCAGGTCAGTCTCAACTACATAGTGAAACCCTGTCTCAAAACAAAACACACAACTAATTAGCCAGAACTGTATAGATCACCATCTAGGGAGATAGAATTACAATGATTGGTTTAGGGTTTATGTTAAACAAGATCTAACCCCTGGGATTAGGGAGGGCTGCCTGATACAGTATCTATCCAGCTAGCAAAATTTAGGAAGGGTGATAAAACAAGCAGTATCTCTGTCAAGATCCATGAAGTTGAAGTCTTTGCTAAGGAGAGTAGACAAACAGTTTCCAGAGCTACAAGCATCACCCATATAGTGCTATTAATGGCAAATCACTACACAGGTCTGTTAAGGGTGTGAAGTCTGGCTGTATAGTATGGGACAGTGATGGCAAATCTATGATAGTGCACTCTTTGTTATCACTGAATGCGCTAAAAGGTTCGCCATTACTGGTACAGGACACAGGGCCAGAGCTGAAAGAATACACTTGAAAGGCAGTGAAATGAGGTGAGGGTAGTATCCCCAGCACCCAAAAGGGTGGTAATCACTTAATTTCAAAACCTGTTTGTCACTGTAAATGGAACAACCAAAACTACCTTGGATAAACAAGGTGAGAGAAGTTACCTGGCTCTAGACTAGTGATGGCAAACCTTTTAGAGCTTTCAACATACAACTTGCTGCAGGATGTGTGTCAGGTTTACCACAACTGTTCTAGACTACAGAACCTTGGTCAAGTTTTGCTCCACTGAGCAACCTTCATCTTGAATTCTACCAGTGAAGTATTAACTTTACTTAATATCTTAAAATTGTTTAGAGGTTTATGTGCAGCAAATGGATAAAAATCTTACTTCCAGCTGGGTGTGGTGGTGCAGGCCTATAATTTCAACACTCTGGGAGGCTGAGGCAGGAAGATTGCAAATATGAGCCTAGCTCAGTGCAGAAAGTCATGAGTTCAAAACACAATGCGGAGGAGCAAAGCAAGAAAACAAAACTCACCCCTAGTTTAGCTGTTTATTAGCTATGTTATCTTCTCTGATGTAGCTTCTCAATCTGTAAAAATTTATTTAGGGGCTGGGGATTTAGCTCAGTGGTTCTACCACCTGCCTCACAAGTGCAAGGTCCTGAGTTTGATCCTCTGTATCAAAAAAAATTAATATTTTTTATTTCACTGAGTGTAACAAAAATCAGTTCTTTCCCCTCTTCCTTTCGAGGGAACTCATATCTCTGAAACTAAAGACTAATACGAACTCTTACTATAACATAAAACCTAGGGAGGGGGATGTAGCTCAGTGGTGTCGCAGCTGCCTGGCAAGGGCAAGTTCCTGAGTTTGAGTCCCGATACCAACAAAACAAAAAATATAAAAGCTAAAGTTTTTTTCTCACTTTTCTTTTTGGCTATGCTGGAGACTGAACTCAGGGCCTTATACATGATAGACAGGAACTATTACTGAGCTACACACTCCCAGCCCACTAAAAGTTTTCATTGATACATAAAGCTGTAGGTACTAAAAAGAGGTCTTATCATTTCCAGAGGATTCTGGAAGCCAGAGTGCTTATGGGTAAGGAACTAAGATTAAGATTACCTGAGGTGGAAAAGGTTTGGTTTTGAAATTTAGAGCCCTTACTAAGCTCCAAACATTGAGTCATTTGTTTAGTCTCCAAACATCTTGATAATACTCTCCCTCTTTTTAGAGAGGAAGAAAGGAAGGATAAGAAATTAAGGAAAGTAACATTTATTGTGGACTGTGCTAGATGCTTTCTATATGCAGTTTCATCTGTTAAGTGACTGCTGTGGATGCGAGGCAGGAAGTGGAGGACCAGATTATAATACCAGATCTGATTCAAATGCCTTGCAGCTCAAGGAAATAATTTGTTTCATCAGAATCAGAAATCATACAAAATTCTAGAATACCATTAGAATATTATTACATAACAGTAGGAAAAAAATAGTTGGGATTTTTCGGGTTTCATACAGACTAGAGATTTCATTGAGTGCGCAAAAGTAAAATCACCTTTACAACTTTGTTGTAAAGCTTTCTTTCCCTTTCTCCTAGCCCACCCACTAGAGGGCCAGGCCATAAACAGAAGCAGTTACAATCTACCAGCTTTGGAGTGTTCACCCTGGTTTAGCCACTAACTGTGTGACCTTGGGTAAGTTACTTTACCTAAACTTCATTTTTCCCATTTGCAAAACAGCAGTACCTATGTCTTTAGGATGAACAAATTAAGCAAAACAAAGACATGGAAGGCAGTCAAAACAATGCCTGCACACAGAACTTAGCAAATTTAAGCCTTTAATGCGGCAGAGGATCTAACACTTCTGGTTTTGTTTCTAAATCCAAAATAGTCGCAATCGTATTTTCCGGGCAGAGGCCCTGCCAGACACAAAATGATCAACAGGTCTCTCTTTTTCCTCTGAACCTAGGTTGGCCCAGAAACATGAAGTCCCCTACGTATATGCGTCCAAGAGGGCTTGACAGTTGGTTTTCTAATACTAGGAAGGCTGTCTCTAGGAGCCCAACCGATCCTCCCTGTTTCCGCATCGACCGGGGAAGTTCTCCTGGCCTTCAGCGGACGAGGTTGCCATTGGCCTGGCTAACCCTGATTACCGGTCCGAAGCCGGATTGCCTGGCTTTCCCTGAGCAAAGGACGCTACTCTGAGACGCAGGTAGTACTCCCTGAGTTCAGAGGAGCCAGTGAACCTAGCCAGGAAGCGCGACAGCCAGAAACCCCGGGAAAGGCTCCTTCAGCGGCGCCCAGGCCTGCGGCCAGGAGAGCCATTCCCCCAGCCCTGGTTTTGGCGCAGGGCGGAGGGCAGGTCCATTTCTACACCTCCGAAATCGTGGGTTCTGGCCTGAGGTTTTCCAAGGTGTCTCCGGAACCAGCCTCCCATTGCTCGGGGAGAGGCCGTAGTCCAGCCCCAAACTGGCCTGAGGGGCACTCCGGCCTGGTTTCTGTCTTCAGATCTACTTAAAGCGGCTTCAAACATCTTCCTCACACCACAGACAGGATCTTGCCAGACCCCATGCCCAAGACTTCCTCAGCCCGACTACCCAATTGCCTGGTTTCCCTACTCACCCATCGCGGCTCCGCTCGCTTCAGACTTGGCCGCGGTAGCTGCAGCAGCGGCGGCAGCTTCAGCCGTAGCAGATTCAGCGGTAGCTTCAGCAAACAATATGGCGGATCTGCAGGACGGCAGCCCGAAATGGACATTCCACCCCGGGTTAAAACGCGTTCTTCCTCCCCTCCCCTTCTTACCTAGATTAGATTATACCAAAGGCACGCACTTAAAGAGAACGCAACCACGAATGGTGGAGAATAGAGATGGAATAGGAAAGAAGCAACTGGAGGGATATGTACTAAAAAAAGTTAAGCGTGCCAAGTTCTCAGCTGTTTCTTTCTTTTCTTTTCTTTTTTTTGGTACCGGAGATCGAACTTGGGTCCCTGCGCTAAATCCCTGGCCCTCTCAGCTGTTTCTGCTACTATTTCTTCTTTAAAGTGTGGCCTCCTTCTTCCAAAACTTTTTCATAATTAAAGTAATTATACACCTTGAACTAATTATGAATAAGGAATCATCTGGAGAGGGGAAGTGTTCAAGGCTATGAGACAGGGAAAGGAAGAAGTCAAGACTAAATCCGGGTTTTCTGACTGTGTCTACCACCCAAAGCCCTAGTTAAAATCGCAATCTCATTGGAAGATCAGAAATAGAGAAAACAGAGGCTGGAGTATACAGTTTATTATTTATTTTATGCAAGGCCATGGGCTTGAGAGAGCCAAGTATAATGGGACATGCCTGTAATTCAAGCTACTTTGGAGGCTGAGGCAGGAAGATTGCAAGTTCAGGCCAGCAAGACCACTGTATTTCCAGCACCTGATATAATACCTGACACTTGGGTGTTAAATAAACAAACAAATGAACAGGACAGGTGAGTTACAGAGCAAGGGATATAATCCCTTTTAATGGTGAGGAAATTGAGACTCCCAGTATTTATGTGACTTTTGAATCAATAACTATATGGCTGGTAGCTATTAGGTCTTCCTTTTTTCATAGTGACATACCAATCCTCCTGTCCTCCACCTCAACACACAGAGCCAGGCAATGTTTTTAAGTTACTGGTTACAAGAACAACCCACCCCCACGGTCAACTCATGACCCTCCTGAGTGTTGACATTATAGGATTACAGGCATATGCCACCATGCCAGCTAACTAGGTATCCTTTGAAAGCAGAATGAAGGACCTGGTATCTAGTTGCCAGGTTCTATCACAACAATTTGCCAACTCTAGTTATGTGCTTAGTCTATTAAAGTAGACAACTCAAAAGGCAAGCTCTGACTCAAAGGTAGGAAAAGGAAGACTATTTCCCTTCCTAGTGCCACTGCTCAAGGTCAGACTTCATCATTCTCTTTTGTGTGCCTCCTCACAGGTCTCCTGTTCTGACTCTACCACTCCCACCAACCTCCTTAAAAGCAGAGACCTGACAGGGTCACTCCTCTGCTTAGCAACTTCCCACTGCCTGTTTTGGGGTAATGTCCAAACATTTCAATCAGGCACATAGGCTGGTCCTTATCAGAACCACTTTTTTTCTAAATTTTCTATCTTCTTTTGTACTTTTGATTATTTTGTACCCTGTTCTTCCATCTTTCTCTCCATGACCATGTAGGGCTATTTATTTTCACGACCCAATTTAACTATCAGTTCTTCAAAGAAGGCTGTCTTTTCAATCAGGGTCACCTGTCTTCTTTGCTTCCTGGGTCTTGGACACTTGTTTTCCTTAGCACTTCACACCCTAATTTGTTCGAAAGGTGTGTCCATCTCTCCCTGTTGTCTAAGGAAGGGACAAATCTTTCTTATCTTTGTAACTATTCCAGTGATTAGCACAGTGGGAGGTACCAAAAAAAGTGTTATCTGTCTCCTGTCCAACACTGAGTTCATCTGTATATGCTGTGGCCAGTAAGAACTTGGGAAATGCGGGCTACTGTCTGCATCTCCTCTCTTTGCAGTCACTGAACCTTCTTCATCAGCTGACCTTCTAAACAGCTCCCACCCCACTGTGCTGGAATAAAACCCAGGACACGGCACATGCTGGGCAAGCACTATACCATGAAGCTATACTCCCAGTGCTTTTTGACACAGGGTCTCATTAAATTACCCAAACTGGTCTCAAACTTGCAATCCTCCTGCCTCAGCTGCCTGGATGGGGGGGGATTATAGTTATGTGTCACCAAACTGGGGTCTACAGGCAGCTTTGTTTCCACTCTAGCATTTGGTCCTGCATATACTCTGTCCCTAGCCTAGGGTCATTGGTCTTCACTGATCTAGCCTCTGTTGACCTTTCCAGACATATCCTTACTCTTCTTTCCTAACCCTTTCTGATCCAGAAACCACAATCTTCTTACTCTGCCCAAACACACAAATATAGTTAGGTGCAATGGCACATACCTATAATCCCAGGGACTTAGGAGGCTGAGGTGGGTGGATTCCATATTTGAGGCCAGTCTGAGCAACACAGCAAGACTCTGTTTCAAAATAAAAATTAAAAAGGGATGGAGGTGTAGCTCAGTGTTTTCTGGGTTCAATCTCCAGTACTGTGGAAAAAAAAATCCAAACACACCAGACTATTTTACATGTCCTTTTTCTCTCCTTGCATTGCCTTTCCTCCTCTTGACCACCTATGAACTAATACAACTCAGACTAGCCCGTCCTCCCAGAGGCCAGAGAGCATTAGCCATTCATTCTCTCCTCTGTGCTGCTCTGTACCTTACTCAGCTCAGCACAGTATTGCTTGTGTCTTAGCACCCTAACCATCTAAATAGTACCTGGCATACAACAGGGCTGCAGTGACTGTATTTTGAGAGCATTAAGACATCACATTTGCTAGGACAACATATCAGCTTTCAGGTTTTTTTTTTTAAGGGCCAGCTCTACCACTTCCTAGCTGTGTTACTTAGGGCAAATTATTATAGCTCTCAGGGCTCTAGTTCATCTATAGTAGTGATAGCACACACTTTCTAGGGTTGTCATAAATTAGACTGACAAGGTACGAAAATACACACAGAGGAGCCTCTGGTACACAGTGAACATTCAGTCAGTAGCACCAATTACTACCACGGCCACTGGTGCTGCCCCACCGAGTCCAATGGAGAAAGCAGAGCCTACAGAAACCCAAGAGCCACATGTGGAGCTTCCCAGCCCCAAATCCCACCCTTCTGGGCTTTACCTGACAGTTAAGAAGAAGGGAAAGAACCACAGAACACAGGATTATTGGGAGTATAAAAATATGACTTTTTTTCTTTTAATCACATCAATTATCAAAGAAACAGTACGTAACAAAAATACAAAGCTCTGGTGGATTTTTTTTTCCCCTATTCAATCCTCCCCAGCAGCCCCTTGCCAGGGAGTCCTGGCTGAAGCCGGATGCTGTCCTGAGGTCACCAGGGGCTCAGGAGAACCGATGGTCCAGGTCTCTCTGGGGGCTGGCTGAGTATGAGTAGGCCTTGCCCAATACCAGGCGGTCCCGCAGCAGCTTGAAGAAGGCATAGTAGTTGCTGAAGAGGATGAGGGCCAGTGAGATGGTCTGGTGCCACTTTTCAGAGGACATTAAGGAGTACAGCTGGTAGACAATGACAGCGCCCTCTAGCAGCAGAAGGATGTTGAGGATCCGCAGGGGTTTGCTGAAAAAGAACTGCCCAGGAAGGATAGGCATGGGCTAGATGTGCTCCACCGTGGATGGGGGAATTCTGCATGGGCCAGTGAAAGTGACAAGCTCTCGGGACCCCATGCAGACTTGGCTGGGAGGAAGACTTTGTAGTATTGGGCATAGACTTTGCCACCTCATCTGTCTTTGCTTGTGGTATTCCTTTGACAATGCTGCTGCTTCTATTTAAATCATTTAAGATACTGTTCATCTTATACCTCCAGGGATCCTTTCTTCAGACTTGTTTACTTTTTCAAATTTTTTCTGGTCTAAAATCAATATTATTTATTTATTGATATATTCATTTTTCTGGATTTTTTTTTTTTTTTTTTTTTTTGAGACAGGGTCTCACTGTATAGCTCAGGCTGGTCTTCATTTCACTATGTAGCCCTGGCTAGCCTTGACTTATGGCAATCCTCCTACCTCAGCCTCTCAAGTGGTGGGACTACATACAGATATGTGCTACCATGCCTAGCTTTATTAATATATGTTCATTAGCACCTATTAATTTTATAAAATATTGGGTTTCATATATGCTGACATCTTTTTTTTTTTTTTTTTTGGTATGGGGATCAAACTTGGGCCCTTGTGCTTGAGAGGCAGGCGGCAGAACCACTGAGCTAAATCCCTGGACCCCCTGACATCTTTTTATATGTCACCCTCTTGGGTATTACTGGGGTCTGAACAAGCTAGAATCTTATTGTGTTTGTGCAGAAAATTATTGCAGACTCCATACCCTCCCTCAGTTACCTACTACTTCCTGTTGTAGCATCCTTAGCTAGGCTGGAAGCTTCTAGGGGACATAATAATACCTTACTCTTATCTAGTGTTTTAGAGCAAGGTGGAGTATAGGGCTCAAGAAACATTTTCTGTAAGTTCAAAAGTATGTTTAACGTTTAGGGTCTTGATTCCACAGGGCCAAGACAGCTAAACCTGAAGAGGTGCTTAAAAAATGGGAAGACAGGTGGCATGAAATAGAGTTCAAGACACCAGGATGCCAGGCTCAGTTCTGTACCTGACAGGCTGCAAGACTCTAGGTAAATCCCTTCCCTCTCTGGGTCTCAGGTTTCTCAACTATGAAATGCCAGTAACAGCTCAGATAAGTAGTATCTCAAACTGTGATGATCTTCAGAGCCCGTTTCTATGTGGTCCCTTGGGAGCTTTTAACAGAGAGGTGAGTGGGAAGTGAAGGGGGTTCCAATCTCTTCAAATACAGCAATACTGTAAAGTCCTTAAAATGAACTTTGGTCTATGACTGTGTTGGAAAAAAGGAGTTTAAAGAAAAATAAATAGAATAGAGAACACTAACCTAGCTGATTTTGAGCAGCCCTGTCCCACAGTGCTGAGTTATGTGTCATTACTCTCAGTTCCCAAGTTTCCCAGTAAGGTGCTCTTGAAGGTGAACTCCTTAAGCCAATTGCAGTATCTAAAGACAGGGTTAGCTCTGGCAGTTCTCTCACACACAAGTTTCTGGGAAAGACTGAGTAGCACAGTGTATGGGAAGTGCTTAGCACTGTGCCTAGCACACAGCAAGGAGTACTCATTTTTATTTTAACTGCCAAGAACCCATTCCTAGGGCCAGGGATTTAGCTCAGTGTTCTACCACTTGCTTTGCAAGTGCGAGATCCCAAGTTTGATCCCCAGTACCAAACAAAAACAAAAAAACCCCAAAAAACCAAAAACCTCATTCTTTTATTGTATCATTTTCTCCATCCAATGGTCTAAAAGATCCGTTATCAAGTGAGCGACAACTATGAAGTGGTAATCTTTATAGTTTTCCTTGTGCTGCGTGTGTACACTGTCTTCCTTTGGGTTTGGGAAATACTGAAAATAGCTTTCTCTTGCTTTGCCCACAGTCCTCCCTGCTGATTCCCATCCATCCCCTGCCCTCCAGATCACGTCCCAACCCTCATTCCCAGAGGACACTCACGTGGAACCGGAAATGGGAGACATCAGAGGGGATGGCCACATTATAGTGGCCTACTGCTTTGTAGACATTCTTGCTGTGCTTCACCAGCACACCCTGTGGCCACATGCATTCTTCGGTCCACCTGGAGGCACAGTTCAAGAGTGCTTCTTATCCCAGGCTCAACCAAGAAAGAGGGTATCACAGGATTAGGCATAGAGCAATCACCAGTGCTCTACTTCCATTTCTATCGTTTAGACACAATGACTTCCCTTTTCTGGGTCTCATTTGCCCCCTCTATAACATGAGGCACGTACCCCAAGAAATTCACTGCACTGGGAGTCTGGCAGTCTAGGACTAAAGAGATTGTAACAAAAACACTTTTTCCTCTCTGGATGCCTTTGCTTCATCTGTTTTCACTTCTAGCTTCCATTCAGTCCACCACACAAATATTTGAATGGTCTCTGTAAAATATAAGGCTGAGCATGCCTATGCTCTCCTTAAAATGAGTTAAAGGCTTCCCATGTCTCGTACCACACAACTCATAAACTCTCTCAGAACTGTTCCAGTTCCTACTGGCACATTATTCTGTTCATGTCTGTGCACCTCCCTCCAATAGGACTGACCTTCTGTTTATTTTTGGGGGCAGGTGTTGAGACAGGGTCTTGTTATGTATTCCAGGCTGGCCTCAAACTCATGGTAATACTCCTGCCTCAGCCTCCCAAGTGCTGGGATTACAGGCATGCACCACCATGCCCAGGTCAAAGCCTTACCCTTCTGGAAAGTTCTTCATCATCTTTCAAAACCTGGCTCTTGGGCCGGGGATTTAACTCAGTGGTTCCTCTGCCTGCCTTGCAAGCGCAAGGACCTGAGTTGGATCCCCGGTACCAAAAAACCAAAACAAACAAATAAAAAAGCCAAAAAAAAAAACCAAAAAAAAAAAACCCAAAAAACCTGGCTCTTCCAAATAGTCTCTTTCAAATGCCCTAGAGTTGAGTATCCTATTACTGTCCCCTGAATCTAGTGCTACTGATCCACTTTTCCCAATGTTTGTCATTTATTTATTTTCCTGTCTGTATCCCTCATGAGGCTAGCAGCCCTCTAGGAAGAGGAGACGGTGTCCAATCCATCCCTGTGGCCTCAAAGAATGCCACAAAGACTGGCACTGAGAGGTCCCATTTGCATGTGAATCAGACTGTGCACCTAGTGAAAACTTTCTTCCAATGTTTGTTTTTTCCCAGGAACAAAGGTCCTGGGCTGAGAACTACAGTTTCTCTTCTAATACATACTTCTGCCTCATTACTTCATTCATTTAAAAAGTAGTTATTGTGTTATATACAATCACAGAGATGAACCTCACAGACAATAAACATGCAAATTAAAGAAGCTGGACAGAGTATCTACTTATGATTTCATTCATATGAAATTCTAGAACAGGCACAACTAACCTATTGTAAAATAAAACAGGAAGGTTTGGGGGCAGGAGGTCACCACGAGGGCCATGAGGAAATTTCCTGGTGGGGGGGCTGGAATTGTGCTTTACCTTGATGGGGTAAGTTACATGGTGCACATGACTTGATCAAAACTCTAAGGGTACACCCTTTGCAATTTTTAAAATTCGTTCTATGTAAATTTTAACCTTAAAAAATAAAACATTATATACAGAAAAACAAAAAAAAATTGCAGTGTACCTATCATAAGTCAGGCACTCTGGCAGTAGGGAAGAGACAGCTGAGTGCTAGATCGGCAAGAGACCTGGCCTCCAGAAGCTTTTAGTCTTGGAAGGGCAGACAGAAAACTAAGAAAACTCAGCAGAAAGCATGCAGTGGAATGAGTGTGGTACTATGGGGGACTGAAGGGAGGGGAGAACATGGGGCACGGAAGTGGGTGCTAAAGATAACCAGCAAAAGAAGGACAGAGAGAACATTCCAACGGGAAAAAGCCTAGATGCCAAAAAGTGTAGGAGGACTGGAAGAGGTTTGGATGGCTAGAGCAAAGTATGAACTGGAGCAGGGTAAGAGATGAGCAGAAAAGGCTGGTTGGCAGGATTCAGTTCATCAGCCGGGAAGCCCTGTGGAGGAGCCTGGATCTTATCTAAGGGCCTTAGGGAGCCACAAACAGGTAGATCCTCATATTCAGCTATTTTCTATCTTTCTATTCCTCCTTCCCCTCAGAGCTTGAGGCTAAGCTGAGCCCATTTTTGGCCCATTTGTCAATCTAGTAACTTTTCTGGACCACCTGAACAGAGTACAAAAGGGCCCTTGATTGGCATGGAGGGCCAACACTAGGAGGCTTGGCTTTGTAGCCTTCCTTTGCAATTTTGCTCCTTGGTGGACCTATCTCTACAAACATGTCCCGGGGGGTCTCCTCTCTGCCAGGCCTTGTCCTGGGCCTAAGACTCAGATATAACTCAGAGGTGGTCCTGGCTTTGAGGAGCTTCCAGTCTCATGGGGGAATATAGGCAGGAAAATTAGCATTTCCTGGGTTTAAAAATACTTTGATAAAGAGCTATAGAAGTAGGTACACGAAAAATTGGGATGGGTGAGGCAAAAGAGGCCTAGCTGTAGGATAACACTGTACCTAGATTAGAGGGAGATGTCACCCTACTGAGGAGCTCTGAGGTATTGGGCTACCCTCTCCTTAGCTTGGCTCATTCTTCACTGGTGCCTAAGGATTAGCCAAGGCTGGCCTCAAACTCGTGGTGATCCTCCTGCTTCATTCAGCCTCCCAAGAGCTGGAATTACAGGTGTGTGCCACCACACCCGACTTGTTAAAAATTCTTCTATGGCTCTCTTCAGTCTATAAGTCAAAGTACAACCTCCCCTGCCTGATACACCAGCAGCAGGCCTGGTATGAAATGGGTAAATGTTTCCTCAAAGAACAGGTGACCTAACAGTTGAGTGGATGAGTGAGCAGATGAGACAGGAGGTAAGCAATGAATGATTGCATTCTTCAGCAATTTAGTCAATTAGTGAATGAATCAATAAATGAGGAAGTGCATGAGTCTTTGAATTTGCCACCTGCTCATCTCCCATCACCACTACACTGCAAGCTATAAGAGATGAACAAAAAAAAGGCAGGCAGGACTCAGTTCACGAGCTGGGAAGCCCTGTGAAGAACCCTGGATTTTCTCAGAGGCCTTTAGGGAGCCACAGACACACTGACCCTCATATTCAGCTATATTCTTTCTTTCTATTCCTCTCTCCTCTTCTATCTTGGGCTCCATCACACCCTATTCTGGACACAACAGGCCTAAAATACAAGTTGGGCTCAGTAGCTGTTCGCTGGCTGGCTGAAGAGTTAATGAGCATGTGGGCTATTGACTCCAGACACTGAAAAGGAGGGCTGCAGTTGAGCAAAGTAGGGAAGGGCAACTCACGGATGCTGTAACACGTTGGAGCACAGTGCTGGGTCCACCTTCTGCCAGCAGCCCAGATGGGCAGCAGCCTTGTGCAGCAGGTCACAGTAGCTGGCAGGCAGTAGGTGCTGCATGAGGATCACTGAGGTACTGATGGACACCAGCAGGAAGAGCTCACAGGACCAACGCTTGTCATAGTAATGTGTGTTCTGGGGATAGCAAGAGATGGACAAGGCTTGGGATACTCATGATGGCCTCACTCCTTCTCCCTTCCCTGATTCTACCTCCCTCAGAAGATTGGACAGTGCTGGGGAGACTCAGGATGGCCTGAAATTAAGAAACAAAAACCTAACAAAGGAAGCTGGGCATGGTGGCACACACCTGTAATCCCAGCACTTGGGAGGTTGAGGCAGGAGGATCGCCGCCAGTTCAAGGCCAGCCTGGGCTACACAGTGAGTTCAAGGCCAGCCTGAACTACATAGCAAGACCCTGTCTCAAAAACAAACAAACAAAAAAAGAGTAACCACCAGTCACCTCTGAAAGGCATTAGGAAGATTATAATATACATGAGAGTTCCTTGGGTGTGGTAGGTGTTCAACAGACTTCAAATCCCCTCAACCTCAAATCTTTAGGTACAGTACATCCTGTAGGAATGTTGGCTACTACAGCTGAGGAGGTACCTTCCAGGACAGTATACACAGACTTTTGGGGTCACTCAGATCTGGATGAATCCTGGCTTCCCTAATTAAGGATAAGGCAGGACAGTGTTACATGCGTGTATCAAAACTGCCACCAAAATACTGTACCAAGTCACTGCTGTTATCAATTATTATTAATAACAACACTATGTCTCTCTCACTGGCTGAATGACCTTAGGCAGGTCACTTCCTTTTTTGGGAGTCTTGTTCTCTGCACTCTCAAATGCAGACAGTAATCACTCTAGTTTTCTAGAGAACAGATGGGAAATCCCATAAAAAAACAGCAATTATTTACGCAAGCAGGAGGGCTCACAGAAGGTAGGCATCAAGGTAAGGTCCCAGCTAGGCCCTGTCCCTCCCGCTGTGTTGAGCTGTGTACCTTCACAAACCAGACAGGCACAAAGGCCACGTAATAGGCACTCAGCATGGAGCTGACAAGCACTTCCTTCATACGCCAGTTGAAATCCATCTTGAGGAACTCCACTTCACTGCGGATGAGGCTGGGTGACAGGCAGCAGGCATGGGTGGGCATGGCTTCTGGGCCATACAGCTGTCGCGTGTGCTGCTTCCATGTCTCCCGCAGTGTCAGGAGGTAGTCCCGACTCCGAGCCAGGCCGCTCACTGCCTCCCGGGGCCCCATGGAGGCCATGTGGCTGAAGAGGCTTGTCTTGCGAAGATCACAGTTCAGCTGTAGGAATGGAATGTACATCCCAAACCTGCTGGGGAAGACAGTGGTGAGGGCAGGCCTGGCCCTGGGCTCAGACCCCAACCTTTGCTTTCTTTTCTGGGCCTCAACTTTCCTGGATGCCCTGAGGGGAATTTAACCATCCTTCATCCATCTATGCTGTCATCCAATTTTTTTTTCCCAATACGGGGAATTGAACTCCAGACCTTGTGCTTGCCAGACAGGTGCAGCACAGCTGAAGTACAGCCCCGGTGTCCAATAATTTTTGAACGTATGTCTTAGCACTGAGTATGTGCTGAGCACTGGACATACAGTCAGGAGCAAGACAAGTCCCCACCCCACCACCATTTAGAGGGACAGCTAATAAAAACCACAATAGTCCCCACACAGTGGCCTAGCCTATGTTTCAAGCATTGTACTAAATGTTTTACATGTCTCTTCTTTTTTTCTCCTGTAACATGCATTAGAAACTGCTATTTTGTCCCCCTTTCAGCTGAGGAAGCTGTGGCTTAGAGAAGTGAATTCCTAAATGGTTACATAATTATTAAGCAAGAAATACAGCCAGGGCTCAGACCCAGCTTTGTTTGGTACCAAAGATCAAGATAGATATTAAAAAAACCAATTTAATGAATTAAAAGTATATAAGATACAGCCAAAATAAGTATAAATTATATGATTTGGTGCATGTATGAGAGGTAACTCTTTAGTTTGCATTGGACACAAGTATTTATTTTGTGTCTGTTATTTGGCAGTTGTGAAATGGACTCTTAAAACAGTACAAATCCTTTCCCCTGAGCAGCATTCTTCAGGTTGAGCTAAAGTTAATTAGGGTCCTTTTGCTTTGTTTCTTGTAGCACTACAAATGGAATCCTTGGCCCTGTTCATGCTATGCAAGTGCTCTACTACTTAGGTGCACCCCAGCCTTTTTGAGATAGGGGCTAAGTTGCCCAGGCTGGCCTCTCAAACTTGTGATCTTACTGCCTCAGCCTCCAAAGTCACTGTGATTACAGCTATGTACCACTGTGCTCAGCCCTCAAGGTGTATTTTTCAGAGTAGAGCTGGTGCTGTGTGAGGAGAAAACTAGAGAAGCCGACAGACTGGGAGAATACAGTGAGCCCTCCCTATTTGTGGATCTTCCATCTGTAGATTCAAGTAACCTTGGACTGAAAATATCCTATCTGAAAAATAAATGTTACATGGCTGCCGATATGTCATTAGTTCTATGGTGTTGGTATGTTTGCATCTGTCCTGAACATATACAGGCTTTTATTCATTGTTAACGTCTAAACCAGACATGTATGGTACAATGTGTGGCTCGCTCTCTGCTTCCTTTTTTGTTTTGACATAGGGTCTCACATACAGCTCAAGGTGCCCTGAACTCACAGTGATCCTCTTGCCTTAGCCTCCAAAGTGCTGGGATTATAGGCCTGTGCCACTACACCCAGCCCCTCTTTTGTTTTATTTATTTATTTATTTATTTATTTATTTATTTATTTATTTATGTTTTTTGAGACAGGGTCTCACTATGTAGTTGAGACTGAACTGGAACTATGTAGCCCAGGCTGGTCTCGAACTCACAGCAATCCTCCTGCCTCAGCCTCCCAAGTTCTGGGATTACATGTGTGAGCCACCACGCCCAGCTTATTTTGTTAATGTTATAATAAAAATACTTAAGGGAGTTTTTAATTTTTTCTCTTATTATTTTTGGGGGGCAGGGATTCAGCTCAGTGGTGCTGGTGCCTGCTAAATTTTTATTTTTTAAAGAAGTTTTGTTACTTATATACATTATATATATATTTTACATGCAGCCTAAGACAATTCTTTATGAAAAAAAAAGAGGAAAAAAAAGTAGCCTACAGGTTGAACACAACTGCTCTAAAAGAGAGCAATAACTTTTTGCATAGCATTTACTTTGCATTAGGTATTATGAATAATGTAGAAATGATTACATACTAATTTTTTTTTCTGGTACCAGGGATCAAACTCAGGACCTTGCATTGGCCAGGCAGGTGTAGTGCCACTGAGCTATATACCCAGCATACTTACTAAAGTATGCAGGGAGGATGTGTGTAGGTTATATGCACACATGTTATAAGGACCCTGAGCATCCTCTAATTTTGGTATCTGGGATGTCCTCCAGAGTCCTCCAGAGTACCAAGGGAAGACTATAATTATAAAAAGTAGATAAGTGCTTGGGGTTTTTTTGAACTCATGGTAATCCTCTTGCCTCAGCCTCCCGAGTGCTAGGATTACTGGAATGTGCTACCATGTCCAGGCATAATTATTTCTTTTTTTTTTTTTTTCCACCTTGAGGCCTCTCAATTTCTCTAGGTCTAGGTCCCCAGAGGAGCTCTGGGCTGTCCCCCAAAAGTTAAGGGCAATGACAGTGCTTTTTTTTTTTTTTTTTTTTTTTTTTTTTTAAGAGATTGAACCCAGGACAATCATAATGAGGTACATCCCCAGCCCCACCCTCCCTTTTTTTTGTACTGCGGACTGAACTCTGGTCCTTGGGCTTGCAACACAGGCACCAGAACCACTGAGCTAAATCCCCAACCTTCAGCCCTCTTTTTGAGACAGCATCTCACTAACTCATTAAATTACCCAGCTGGGGGGCCTGAGATTTACCTCAATGGTTCTGCCGCCTGCCTTGCAAGCATGAGGACCCGAGTTCGATCCCCGGTATCGAAAATAACTAACTAACCCATAAATAAATAAATAAACCAGCTGGGCCCAAACTTGGATCTTTTTTGTTTGTTTTATTTTTGTCTTTTTGAGACAGGGTCTCACTATCTACTTGAGACTGACCTGGAACTCACTATGTAGCCCAGGCTGGTCTGAAACTCACAGTGATCCTCCTGCCTCCTGAGTGCTGGGATTACAGGTGTGCGCCACCACACCTGGCCAATAAAATAAATTTTTAAAAAAGCATAACCTTTGGGGCCAAAGAGTCCTGAATTAAAGTCCTACTCTGCCAGTTACTAGGTCTGTGATTTAGGACATGTTATTTAAAATCTGTGCTTCAGCTTCCTTAATTTGCCCTATGTTACACAGTTACACAACTTATATTGATCCTTTTCTCTCAGACAGGCATTAAACCAGTGTTTTCATAAATACTCTCATTCAGTCCTCGTAGCAGCCCTCCAGCATGATGCCTGGCTCTGAACAGAAGATCAATACAATTCTGTTCAGAAAATAAAGAGGCCAGTGATTCTGTAGGGACAGGAAAGAAGACTGAAATGGAATTCCCAAAACACTTTAGGATACCCTGTGCGAACTGGGGGTGGGAAGGGTGTTATACAAAAATGTAAGGGACTCAGACTCTATCCTACAGGAAAATACTTAAGAATTTCCTTGGTTTTGCCTCTAAGAACTGTAGATAGGTCCTGTAAGCAACTAAACTACTTGTTGCCAGTAAGTGACTGATCTGAAAGGTTAGAAATTAGAAGCACCTTTACATGCAAGATGGCAGGTTCTTTCATACCCTCCACTCACTCATTCATGAGAGTATAAAAGTAGAAAATAAATACCCATTAGCAATAAGAAAAAAATGGGAAGGAGGTCATCAATACACAAATCACTGTCAAAACTGAGAAAACAAAGAGAGATATGTCGACAGATGAGGAAGAAGCCCTCACCCACAGCAGAGAGCTTTCCAAAAGAAATATGAGAGTTACACGGGCAACTGAAAATTTTCTAGTAGCCATGTTAAAAGACAAAATTGATTTCCAAACAAACAAACAAGGAAATTAATTTTAGTATTCTATTTCATTTAACCCAATCCATGGACAAATATTACATACAGTGAATAATTTATTAATGAGATATTTTACTTTCTTTGGCTTTTTTTTTTTTTTTTTTTGTACCAGGGATCCAACTTGGGTCCTTGTGCTTTTGAGGCAGGTGGTGGAACCACTGAGCTAAATCCCTGGCCCTACTTTCTTTTTTTGTACTAAGTCTTTAGAATCTGGTGTGTATCTTACACTCACAGCATATCTCAATGGAAAGTAGGTTATTTTTCACCTGCACAAGGTCCCGAGAGTTCGATCCCTGGTAACAACAACAACAAAAAAAAAAACAGAAAGAAAATAAAGTAGGCTATTTTAAGTGCTCAATAACTACAGGTATCCGGGTGTGGTGGCACACACCTGTAATCCCAGCACTCGGGCAGCTGAGGCAGGAGGATCACTGTGAGTTCGAGACCAGCCTGGTCTACATAGTGAGTTCCAGGTCAATCTCAACTACATAGTGAGACCCCATCTCAAAAAAACAAAAAATAAAAATAAAATAAATAACTACAGGTAGCTACCAAACTAGCTAAGACAGCACAGATCTAGAATATGATATGAGAGGACACACTGGTATGGAAACTTACATGGCCAGAGTGACCCGAGAGAGACTCTGGCTTGAAATGGGCACATTTCACAGAGGGAAGACTTGAGAAGCAAGGCTGTACAAATAGCTCTAATAAAGAAAGGTCTGTATTTATTTATATGAGTCAGTCCTTTTATTCCATACTCACCTCACACAACTCACCCTGAGGAGTCTTCTCAAAAGAAATTGAATAAACTATGTGAGAAAATTGAAGTTTCTAATGGGAGCATCTTAAGAGTAGTATTACCAGGCCTGGGATTTAGCTCAGTGGTGCTACTGCCTGCCTTGCAAGTACAAGGTCCTGAGTTCAATCCCCAGTACCAAAAAAAACAAGTAATAGTCCCACTTCTTTCTGGTCTATAGGGTCCCTCAGCCTGACACCTGGCACTTCATTCACACCTCCTAAAGCAAAGGCTACCAGTGTCCTGCCCACATGCTGAGAAATCCAGTCGAATCTCCCACCCACTGAAAAAATTGTAGAAGGAAAGAAAATGCACTCCTGCTACAGTGCTTCATTCTTAAATACAGACAAAGAAATCAACTCTATTTGGAAACTAACAGTATGAAACAGAAAAATTGGTGCCAGTATAAATACAAAACTGAGAGAACATAAGAAATTTTAAAAAGAAGAGGGCCAGTGGTTGTGCCACCTGCCTTGCA